GTAATCCTCTCAGACTTGCTGTTTGAGATTTTCATTGTATCCTCAGACATTGTGGGTGCAGATTGTGAGATTTAGAGGTAAGGTATTAGGGTACCTAGGTTGTGTTAAATTACTAGAGATAGAAGCTAAAGATGCTGGTATAGAGAAGACTGGTATTGATATGTTTGATTTTAACTGAATGTTTGGATAATGCCAGATAGCTTGGATTGGTAATAAAGTAATTAGGTAATGGTTTAGCTTCTAATAGAAGGTAAACATAAGCTTCACTATGATCATTTTTAATAGAAATAGTTAATCTATAGCCACAGGCATTTTCAGATAAATAACCAAAGCTGTGAATGTGTCGTAAGTAAGAAATAATAGTTTGAGGATGAGAAAGCAGTGGTAGATGGTTGTAGAATAAAAATTTGTTGTAGCAGGTATTATATTGGATGTTGTCATAGTGGTGCTTAACTATAGTAGTTTCATCATGACCTTCTAAAATGACTCCTACTAGTAGAAAGTAAGAGTATTTTATATCATTTTCTTTTATAATTGAATTCAGATTTGGTAGGTTGTTATTTATTAAAGAAAATTTAAAAGAAATGGGTATGGATGGATAATAGATATAGGCTGATAGTTGTGGAAAAAAGTATTCAGATGAAGGTTGAGATTTGTGTGGTAAGTATATATAGCATTCACTATAATCAATTTTAATTGATATTGTAAGTGCATAGTTGAAATTGTTTAATTGTGTATAATTGTAATAATGAATGTGTTTTAAAAAGGAGCTAAGTGTTTGGGGATGTGGAAGTAGAGGTAAATTCAACCCAGCTAACCACACATTATAGTATAAGTCTGGATCATATAGTGTGTTGTAAGATGAGTCTTGGAGTTCTTCCTTGATATAGGATGATGAAATGGAGTTCAAAGAAGTAGAAGGTTCTTCTGTAGATTTGCTCACTGTATGCTCAGCTTGCACAGCTGTGCAGGATACCATAGCCTGTCCTGTACGTTGAGTCTGGCCATCATTAACCTGGTCCTCTGTGTAAGTTTATTTTTTAAAAAATAATAAATATATAAATATTGATACAAAAGTAAAATGCTAAGCTAATGGTAAAATGTGTGAAAAATCTCTTTGTTATGATAATAAAGTTGCTTGTTTTAAAATTAAAGAAGAAAATACAACATTTAGTATTTTTTATAAGAATATTGAAAAGTTAGAAATAGGAAGGATGTAAATTATACTATTTATGAAAATACATTTAAGTATATTGCTTAAAGTGTTTTAACATTTCTTCAATCATTTTTTTTGATTGTAAAACTTTATATTTATTTATTTCAGGAATAAATTCAACTTTTAATCCAAGTTTTTCAGATGCTTCTTTCATTTCTGAACCAATTAGAAAAAATTTTTAGAGTTTAATTTCACCTTGTTTAATAAAATACGATGAAATTTCATTCATGTTTTGCACAATCATGTTTGTTTTTTTTTCTGTTTTTTTTCTCTACCATCGCTCTCATTATTTATATATTTTTTTATATAATAAAAAAATGATAAAATTTATTTTTTAATCAATAACATTAGAATATCATTATAATCACACTCTCTCTGCTGATTACTCGTATACAAAACTGTAGAAAAATACTTTAGAAGTTTGCTAAAAAACGGCTGTCAAAACCAACCTTACAGGCTTAAGAAAAAA